ACTGACACCCACCCACACCCACACCCACACCCACACCCACACCCACACCCACACCCACACCCACACCCACACCCACACCCACACCCACACCCAAAAAGGTTTTTAATAGCTATTATCCTGACATACAATTCACTTCAGTTAACGAAGAAAACAATGAACTTCCATTTCTTGACGTACTCGTACACAATAATACTAACAATTTCGAAACATCCGAATATCGAAAACTAACATAGACAGGATTGCTTACTAAGTGGTCGTCTTTTGTTCCTAAAAGCTATAAGATCTCGGCAATAAGTTTCATGGTATATCGAGCGATTCGGATCTCTTCATCATACTCATTAATGCATAGAGAATTCGAATTCATACGAGATATTGCACAAAAAATGGCTATCCATTAAATTTTATCGAATGTCAAATAAGACATACACTAAACAGAAACATGGAAAAACAGAACAAAAAGATAAACAATAATAATAATAACAAACCTAGTAAAGTAGATGACTCCAAGAAAGATACAAGTTGTGATAGAATAATGATTAATGTTCCATTCGTGGGAAGAGCTACACAACAATTCACTTGAGAAATCACTAAACTTGCGAGGAAAGTAAAACCTAATACACAAGTCATAGCCATTCCAAGACCACCATAGGCTGTGCGACAATTCTTTAAGAATAAAGATGACACACCAAAAGATCTTCAATCGAATATAATCTATGAAGTCAATTGCACTGCTTGTTCAGCTACATACATAGGAAAGACAGTGAGACAGGCATGCTGACGCCTGAAAGAGCATGGTGCACCTTCAAGTGTACCAATAGCACAAGAAAACCAGGCTCTGAGACGGTCAGCTAGAATAGCTACAAATAAAAAGTTTCAGGTATCTTATGTCGAATCCGAAAGTAGTGATGAAGAACAGGTAGATGCTAAATCTTAAATAACAACATCAGCTATACAACGTCACATTGCACTAACTAAACATAAAATACATTGGCATAATTGGTCAACATTAGACAGAGATAAACATCCGTATAGATTATTAGTCAAAGAGTCTCTTGCCATTGCTGAAAAAACATCTAGCCTTAATGCAACAACTAGATCTGTACTTTTAATAATTTTTCCAGAAGGTAGTGCAAACAGACTAAAATTCAATAGAAAACTATAATTCGACTCATTCATTCATATATATATAATATTTATACCTAATTATTAACTGTCATATATTTTATCTTGTTGTAAAACTTAAAGTTTCTCTACTCTCGTCATACATCGAAATCGTGTCATTTTCCTTTCATTGTACTCTCATATTGACTATTATTTTTCAATTGTATCATTGCTAATTTGTTCTCTCATTTATCTTGTCAACTTACTTATAATCATGTAGTTCTTTATATTAATTTTTTGTAAACGATTTACCGGGTTACATGATAATAAATTTGTCGAAACGTCGTAAGATGTCGAAAATTAAATAAAATTTTCTTTGAATTATAAACGCTGCTGTTAAAAGCTTTCTCTTATAATTCAATTCTCACCCATGAATCAAAATAATTATTTTTGAACATATAGAAAATGCTCTCAATAAAGTGAGCGACGCATTAGAAGATCCAGAAACTTCTATTCTGTCTTATCGTTTGCAAGTTACAAGGAAGTTTTCTACTATGTTCTTAAAAAAATGATATTTTTTTTATAAGACCAATGTCTTTATTATGTAATGCACTCAATCGCACAAAATAAAGATTAATTGAGGGTGTGGCTGTGGCTGTGGCTGGAGAGAGAAAAAAATCACCCTCCTACCGACACCCACACCCACAGCCTCATTAGAGAGATATTCAGAGAATGTAGTTCATGTTGATCAGTTGATGTTGGCGTTGATCTTTCGTTTCAAACATTTCACGGTTGCCGCTCGAGAATGCCACAAATGAATTGCCAATGCAATCGCACTCACCGTGAGAAAAGTAAGAAAGAGACCACTCATCGATGACATTGGAATACCATCATATTCCCACATATTACCGACATCACTGTTACAGGATCGCTTTAAAAACCATTTTTTTTCAATTAGACCTTCTTCACGTACTGACAATATATTCATATCAAAATCGGCTTTGTATTCCCAATCTTTTTTCATGGCAATACCAAACCATGATTTAGCAAACCCGACACCGACTAACGACAAACGACCACAATAGTTTCGATCGATTACATATTGAAGCGCTTCACCCTCAAATAGTGCGGCATCGATGCGATTTTCGATCAGAGCCAAATAAATATCTTGTGGATTTTCAAGACGATAATAAACATCTGACACATTCTGGATATAATAGTCGATAATAGATGTATTTTTCACAATTCCGACACGATGGAAAGGTAAACGGCCATTTTTGATACCATCAATACCGGAAATAGGTGGATTAGTACGTCGCATTGTAAGAAACGATGCTAAATCGGCTGTGTATATAGCCATAAGTATGCAACTTAATGCAACCAAGGCAACTGATATCATTTGGCTTGATGTTGATCTGAATTTAACATCATCACCTATTCCGACAATTCTACGTAGAGCGCGATACATTCCAAAGATCATCGCACGGAATTTTTTTTGTTTTTCTTCTTCCTCTTGTTCATTCTCTTCTCTCTCAAATATATAGACAAGCAAGCCCGATAATAAGATTACACCGACAATTGAGAGCCAAACGTAAAGTGAGAATGGATTCAGATAAGAGAAAAAACTGACATTAAACGATGAACTCTCGCGGATAATAATTCGCATGGTGTCCTCAAAAATAGGTAATGAAAAATCAACAATTCCAAGACGATTCGAGGTAATTGCTATGTCCGAAATGGCAATATCCCAACTTTCGTTCAGTGAAACAGATTTGACCATGCCATCGTAAGTTGTGTTCAATGGGGCTACAACGATTTTTGCCTTAAAATACATTTTTTCTTCAAGATGATCAATTAAATCAGCTACATAACCATATATTTTAACGTTTTCATCTTGAGTATCAAGCATCTTAGCATCCGATGGCTTTTCCGACATTGATGACTTATTCCAAATCATGACATACGGCGGAGATTCAATTACATGAATGCGTAATGTCTCACCTAATAAGCGATTTTAAAGAAGTTTATCAGTACCGGAGTTCTGCAAGAGTAGGACTTTTGGTTCTCTATCCTATCCTATACTTTGACAAGACATATTTTGCTGTTTAGTGTAAGATCTCACTATCATTTGGCTCTATCTTAATAATAAGATTTGATCTAGTTTTCATCTAATAATCTGCTCAATTTCATGTCCTGGAAGAACAACATTTTCAGATTGTATCATGAATTTATTTAATTGCATCCTAATCCTAGTATAGAGTACATCAGAATAGAACTACAGGACTCCAATCAGCGTAGGTTCTAACGAGACAAAGACGTAGAATTCATATAGCTCCTTTTATTTCTAATAAATAAAAACATCTAGATGTAAGCTTATCGTATTTCAAATATAACGACACCAACTGTGAGGAAACAAGCTTCGAGACTTCTCTCTCTCTATAGGTTCTGAAAGAAATCCCAATACTTGTTTTCGAAGTACTTTTATATGAGGAGTGTCCGTAAAGGAAGTGAATCGAGGCAGTACCAGAAAGTTTGATTTTATTTATACACACCACATTTTCTTTTATAAGTTTTATCAAAGAAAATATATATTTGCGAATTTTTAAAAAAATGATACCTTGAATTTGGGGATAATCTTTCGGTATCTCTTTGGATCCATTTGGCCAAATAATTTGTTGTTGGATAATACTTTGCCAATTCTCATTTTCAACTTTAATTTCATCATGCCATTTCATTACTTGTACGAATCTGAGCTGTTCTTTGTTTTTATATTGCAAGTTTTCAAGCGCATAATAGGCACCTCCAACACGATCATTTGAAACATTTTTTGCAAATTCTATGGGACCAGATATGCCCAAAAATTGTGTTGCCTTTAAATATTCATGATATTTAGTGGCATTCTCCAATGAACTATTAAAACAATAGGATGATGAGAGAAACCAAGGTGATGGAGAAGATTTGCCATCGAGCGATGTTTTGTACAATGCTTGAATTAATGTCCATGTAGCATCAAAAGTAAACATAGCAAACGAACTGATATTGGATTCATTTCCAAGGTGACATCCAATTCCGTGTTCATTTTGTGAATTCTGAGAAGTGGCCAATGCAGCATTGAGTAACGTTTTATTAAAATTCAATGGTTGATGATTGCTGCTGCCGCCATCGCCTCCGAATGGAATTATAGTAAGAAGACCTTCAAGGTTTTTCTTAAATTCATTATTTTTGAGCATGTCCGGTGGAAACACACCGAAAGCAATCTTAGAAAATTCAGAACAAGATCTCAGTCGCGCGTAAATTTTCATAACTTTAAACGGCTGATATTTTCATTCCAGTTATGGCATCTTCAACAGAAAACCTTCTAAAAACTCAAGGCATCATGGATAAGATGCACGAAAATCAAAGTTAAAGTGAAATCTTATTTTTGATTTGCATACACCATTCGATAGAGAATTTCAAGGCGGTCAAGAATATGTGTGCCTTGTATTTTCTTAAACCTTTTTCGGTCGAAAAATTGAAAAATCTCGGAAGGCGTGAAAAACAGATAATTTGGCAACTTTTCATAGATTCTTCTTTTTTTTAAGTATGTTACGAGATGGAATCTTATAACTTAGTTTTTCTGATAGATCATAGAAAACTCAATAAGAAACTGGTTTTAAACCATTTTTAGAACAAAGAGTTAGTTCACAAAATAATTTTCCAAGACCCATGCTAAAAAACCGGAACTTAATTTTGCAAGTCTATCACAGGTTTTTTTAGAAGTGTTAGAGCGAATATTTTTACATGATTAGATTGGTCAGATGCGTAGCTTCAAATCTATAAAGAGTTTTTTCAAAAATTCCTTTTCCTCGCTGAGAAAAATCGATTTTACTGAGGACACCTGAAAATTGGCCAGGTGATTTTTGGTGATTTTTTTTCTGTTCACTCCCAACATAGTCAAAATATACTCAAATAGGTTAAAATCGATGCCCAATCCAACAGACATACTCTCGAGAACTTCAGAAGATTTCTAAAAGATTTTCAAAAGATTTCTGGAAGGTTTTTGAGCCAAGAGCGAGTAGTTTATTGGGCTTCGGATTGCATAGATGCAACTGAAGTAAAAACAAAATATTCTCTGTTCGTTAAAGTATCTACTGGTATATTTATTTCAACATAGTCACAATGAAAATCGCAGATGAAAACAATAGGAAAAGGCATCATTTTAAAATCACAAACTAAACGCTTAAGTTACTGTTACTAATACTTGTATGACTTTTCAATGTTTCTTCACATTTAGTACTAAAGAACATCTTCATTACTTCCGCATATGACTGATCATCACTATAAGCCAATTCACTTCAGTTGCATCTCTGCAATCCGAAGCCCAATACACCACTCGCTCTTGGCTCAAAAACCTGCCACAAACCTCTTGAAAACCTTCTAGAAATCCTCTGAAGATCTCGAGAGTATGTCTGTTGGATTGGGCATCGATTTTAACTTATTTGAGTATGTTTTGACTATGTTCGGAGAGAACGGAAAAAAATAACTAAAAATCACCTGGCCAATTTTCAGGTGTCCTCAGTAAAATCGATTTTTCTCAGCGAGGAAAAGGAATTTTTGAAAAAACTCTTTATAGATTTGAAGCTACGCATCTGACCAATCTAATCATGTAAAAATATTCGCTCTAACACTTCTAAAAAACCTGTGATAGACTTGCAAAATTAAGTTCCGGTTTTTTAGCATGGGTCTTGGAAAATTATTTTGTGAACTAATGCTTTGTTCTAAAATGGTTTAAAATCAGTTTCTTATTCAGTTTTCTATGATCTATCAGAAAAACTAAGTTAGAAGATTCCATCTCGTAACATATTTAAAAAACAGAAAAATCTCTGAAAAGTTGCCAAATTATCTGGTTTTCATGCCTTCCGAGATTTTTCAATTTTTCGACCGAAAAAAGGTTTAAGAAAACGCAAAGCACACATATTCTTGACCGCTTTGAAATTCTCTATCGAATGGTGTATGCAAATCAAAAAAAAGTTTTTGTAACTTTATTTTTGCTTTGCGTGCATCTTACTTTTTTTTAGATTCAACTTTTTATTTGACTTGGCGGTTTGTTTTTTGAATTTCTCATTAAATATGAAGCATTCTTTAAAGTTTCCTCACTTTATGAAGCCAGTATCTGCTCCGGAGAACATTTTTGAGCTTATTCGAAATCTTTTTTTTGACCTTTTTCTAATGTCAATTTGAACTATTTATGGGCAAGATATGAGAGAATAATCACCTTATTTGTTGTGATCCAAACGTATCGGGTATTGATGAGTCTTTCTTCAAATGCTCGTTTAATAATATTTGTCGTTTGTTGTTCATCTGCCCATACAAGAACAATTCTTGATCGACTCGTTTCCAATGTTTGTTTTAAATCAGCATGAAACTTGTCTCCATCGAATAGCAATTGTGCTTTGATTGTAATATTATTATGATAATTTTCCGATAATATTCTGAGTCCACCATAGCCATAGTCACTTTTTTGAAAAATCATTGTACAGGTTTTCCATTCGAACTGTTTGAAAAGGTGAATGATAGCACGAGCAAGGAGAAGATCCGATGGAACAGTTCGATAGAATGTCGGATAGAGTTGTCTATCGGCGAGATCGATATTTGTTGCAGCATAGGAGACGAGTGGCAAATTAACATGAGAAGCAAATGGATTGATAAAACGAGCAGTGGTCGATGAATCCGGACCAACAATCCCGACAATGTTTGGGCGTTGAGTAGTGATATATTGGCAAAGGAGATTCAGTGAAGCATGGCCATTTTCATCATTATTTACTTGAATGACATTACTCGTTATGCTCTCGTTATGAATGCGAATATTATATTGATTGGCGAGCATGATAGCAGCATGAAACATGGCTAAAGAATCGTGAGACCAAACACTTACATTCGTGTGATCGGTGTAAAGAGAGGCGGATTGTATTGAAGAAGGATGTATATCAGTGCTATTGTGAACATGTTTGAGGAAGAGACCGAGGATTTCAACACTCTCATTGAATGGAATTATAGAGAAAATGATCAACAGAAAAGTACGCATAGTCAATATTCAATCGGTATCTAAAAACTAAAAGCAGAAGGAAAAGTGAAAAGATGGATTGATAATTTGCAGCGTAGATTTTAGTTTGACAGATGTATGCCGGGAAACATGATTTAATGATAGTGATAATAAATTGTATGTGTAGTTATGGTATTCTCATAGAAAGGCGACATCCAGAAAAAACTCAATTAAAGAAAAACATTAAACATCCATTCTCAATCTCAACTGTCCTTCTTTTCTTCCACTGAAATGAGTGTGGGTGCGGGTATTGGCCTCCTATTCGCTGACACCGTTCCCCTCTCTCCTCCACACACACTCTAACTGATACTCAAGCATTAATCAGCGAAAACAGCTTCTATCCACTTAACTGACTTTGTATTTCAGCGTAGAGACACCCACGAAAATCTCGATCCATTCTCATGTCTGTGCATACATCGTACCTATATTTTTCTCACATCCAAAGCAGACTATTAGGTGATGGTATCAGTGTCACTGTAAGGAGTGACTGCGACTATTGCTTTTAAACACACTAACACTTATCATATAGCTCTCAATACTTCTATGGCTATAGCTCTGTACCTATGGGTGCACCAATTGCAATTCTTGGAATTGACCGTGTTTAGCTAGAATTGGAGGCAGCGGTGCATCTCTATTCTTGACTTGTCTTGAGGAAAACGTTGATGTAGGAAAGCTAAACTCGAAATCCGGTTGTTAATTTTCAGAGAAAAATGCAGATTTGGATTCCCCGATCCCGATTACCTATGATGAAACTTTGACCACTTATTTTGTAGAAAAAAGTCTTTTTTCTATTAAAAAAAATCTTTTTCAGCGTACAAGATGGCTATATAGTTTCGGTGATGTTATTCCGATTATATAATTATGGATCAGTCGATTATTTCATACAAACTTCTGACAGTGTTTTCATCTTTCAAAAAACTATCCTGATAATTGGGGTAAAAGTTCTAAGAAAATGTATGTTACCTAAATTTTCAGGTATTCTCTGTAAATAAGCTTGTTTCAAACAGATAAAAATATAGTAATGGGAAAAAGCTTTATTAGAAAAAGGCGTCTTTATCCTACATACAAACAGTAATAAAACATAAAGTGTTTGTATATATATATATGTCGCGAAGTCAGAAATAAATCTAAAATGAAAAAGTGCATATCACCGTTTGTCGAGGGTGTATATAGAGTTCTAGTTATATTAGAAGTTGTTTTCTTTCCATTGAAGATTCAAGATACACATTTAACAACAATAACAATGATGATGACAAAGAGAGAAGAAAAAAACAGTAAATAATGCTAAAAGAAATACAGAACCAATGAGAAAGAACGCAAACTTTCGTATATAGACGACGAGAGAAAGGAAAAGAAGCGAATATGCCGTATATGATCTTGTACATTAGTACAGATCATAACATCGGTAGATCTAACTTTCAATAGTCAATATATAGTAACGGCTAGTTATAACAGAATACGCAGTGTTATGTATTGAAATCGGTTGCTTTTGTTTGTATATATATCTCTAGTAAGAGATTCTGCATATAAATTCAATTTTTCAAGCAAAAAGAATTCTGAAAATTCAAGTGAACCGCTGACAGCATATCGTCCTTTATAGTAACCAATTCAAAGACCATCTGATCAAGTTAACTGATCCTTTTTTTGCGTTTTAGTAGAACTCTTCATTGAGAATCTTCTGTAAAAAAAGGAAAATTATACGGTTTGTCTAAGCAAAAATATTCACACAATAAACTGTGTTGTTCAAATATTTGACATTTCAAAAAGCTGTTTTGGGTTTTTCTCAAAATGGTGATCACACGGCGCATCTCCGGCGAAAGTCAACTACAATATGATATAAAGTCGAATATTTGTTTTGTTTGAAAGAGCATGACGGGATGCAGTGTCTATGAGAGCTCTTTTTTTTTAAATAGGCTTTGCTTTTATTAGATCCAAAAGCGCCTTCTATATTAGAGCATCATTTTTTGAGAGTGTTTTTTTACAGAAACCGAACTTGTCAGGGTCCTTTTCCACCTAAAATATAAGATTAAAAAAACAGGATCCTCATAGACACTGCATCCAGACATGCTCTTTCAGACAAAAATAATCAAGTATATGGGCGTATTGCGCCATAGGATACCCCAATTTGCTTTCTTACTGCTATCAGTTAAATAACCTAATCATATTCGGGATAAATTATCACCTTCATCGTTAAACTACTAAATTTAAAATATTAGCTGCCGATCACTGTCTTATATGAAATTATTCAGCTTCTGAAATCGTGTCCTATCGTTTTTAAGGGGCTGAATAATTTCATATAAGACAGTGATCGACAGCTAATATTTTAAATTTAGTAGTTTAACGATGAATGTGATAATTTAGCCCGAATATGATTAGATTATTTAACTGATAGCAGTAAGAAAGCAAATTGGGGTATCCCATGGCGCAGCACCCCCATATATATATTGGGGATTCACTGAGAACTTTTGGAGATGTGATAAGCCATTATTTTTACTCTTATTTGGTCTGTGTCCTCATTGCACGTCATGACAGAGGACTGAAAGTTTTATCACATGCGTCCTATCATAGGCCCAATATATCTTCCAAATATCAGCTCGTTTGAATGTATCTGGGCCGAAATCGACTTTTGAGAGAGGAGGGGGCCCTTATATTAAAGTGGTACCTTTACTGAGTACCCAGCCAGACTGGACTGCTGCGTCTCCAGTAGGAGTCGTCATTTTTAATTACCGAAAATGCGGATCTTTGATACGAAAAATCAGGAATTGGTGCATTGTTGGTCCCAGTTCTAATCAATTTTAGTCAATTCCAAGTCAAGAATCATGGTTTGAATTGGTTGGATTCGGAATTAGTGCATGCCTACTTATATCTCTGATACTTCTATAGCTATATCCTCATTCGTCTACATTAGTAATACTTCTATTACTGCAGTCTTATACCTCTAATAGCTTTATGGCTATAACCTTATACGTCTATATTAACAATGCCTCTTTGGCTGTAGCCTTATACTTCTAATTGCTCTATGACTATAAACTGATACGTCAATATCACTAATCCCTCTATGGCTATAATCCTATACGTCTATATTACTAATCCCTCTATAGTTATAGCCTTATATCTCTATAGCGTCATGAATATGTGGATGCTAACAATCACTCTTTTTTCGATCTTGCCGCAAATTCAAATTCTGCATCAATTGTAAAAGAACTGAACCTTGTACAAAATACTTGTTTAAGTGTTGTTTTAAAAGGATATAAATTTTCGTTTATTTAGATAAATATTACGATGTGCTGGAAAATTTAGCATTTCTTCATTTTGAAAACGCAGTGAAACCCTTTCATCAAATCGATTAAGTATCGGCAAAAAATGACTGCGTGTTCTCTCCTGACACATTCATTGTTATTAATTGTTTTTTTAATACTCTTTCTAGATGATCTAGAATTTGCCGGTAGATTACCAATAGTGCGTTTATCTTTTATCTAATAAATACTGTACTGTAATCTTTTCGAATTATCCGTACTCAAAATCCAGATAATTCTGAATATCTACTGTAAAGTATAAAGTTAGTCATAAAATTTTGTTCTGTAACAGTGAGAATGAGTAATGGACAAAATATAAGCTAGTATCTTAGCATTCAATATGAGCGTGGTAATTCAAGTGTAGCTTTAAAAATGAATAGATGAATTCGAGGGAAGAATAAAAAAGTTCTTCAAAGGCAAAAAGTGTGGATTAAATGTCGATACTGCCTATCCATTTTCTCAAATTACGATAGGAAACTTCTAGATTATTGAGCAGTTTTCAGACTTAGACATTGAGGGTGTGGGTGTGGGTGTCGGTATGGGTATGTGGGTGTGGGTATGGGTATATGGGTGGGTGTGACTGTGGATGAAGAGAAGATCACTACCCTTACACATTCACACCCACACGAACCCTGCACATCCTTACTAGAAGGCTAGGATATTTTGGTTCTATTTTACGGAAGGGTGTGGGTGTGGGTGTGGGTGTGGGTGTGGGCGTGGGTGTGGGTGTGGGGTGGGTGTGGGGGTGGGTGTGGGGGGGTGCGGGTGTGGGGGTGGGTGTGGGTGTGGGGGTGGGTGTGGGTGTGGGTGTGGGTGGGGGTGTGGGGTGTGNTCTAAGTGTCGGTTTTGAATCTATTAGAAAGGAGAAGGGGATCTACATCAGTTATCTATACATTTTGTTTTTATCAGTTACTACTGTTGTAATTTCAAAATTGACTGATAGTTTTTCTGTTGAGTTGATCTATTCTCTTCAGTGTTTTACTTGATTTCTCAATAAAGTACGAACATAGATCATGTTTTGTAATTAACAATTGATACAATTTTGAAAACACACCGATTGCAGAAAACTTAGTGCAAGTTGTGTAGGAAGAAAATATAGAGAGCAGCTTTCGAATAATTTTAAACGTAATGTGACCTTCATGCATAAGCACATCTTCATTAATCGACTTTTGTGTTCAAGACAAATTTCTTTTCAGTTTTAACATCAGTGTTTAGTTTACTGGGTTCTTTTTTTCTTGTGATGCATTAGCCAAACATTAATCTAACTGTGATGAAAGGTCTCAGCGTTTCAAATATGAAAAGATTTTCAGCAATGGACTCTTCAAACGTCGCATATTCCATATATCATGTTAAATCGAGTTATATTTTATTCTATTAATAAATGGCTCTTTTATTTAAAAAATATTCTAAAATTTCATATAGTTAGAGTAATAATCCAATCGTTCTAGCTAGTTGAAATAAGTATAAAAGCTTCTGTTTTACTCACTAATTCATTTTCAAAGCAAC